GTATCCCCCATCTTATATCTATGCATTTCATTTTTTTGCCTTAAGTGCAGTACCTTACATTTCTCCATATTGAAATTAATTTTGTTAGCTTTGGCCCAGCTTGAATTTTCATCCTGTCCTCTGGGGTATGGAATAGCTGCACAATTGAGATCCTATTGATGGATTGTGCCCATCAATGGAAAAGTGCACTACTGTAACTAATGAAATGCAAGGCAGCAGCAGGATGGACACAACGTTATGTGATAAGGACCAGTGAAAAAAAATGCTTTTATTCTCTTCAAATTCCGCTTTTTAGCCTTGTGTGATAATTTCCCTAGTGTAAACGGGCCTCAGGGAAGGAAAGAAATGGTGCATGAGAAGAAAATGAAAGAAAAGTAAAATACAGTGAGCCCTTGATATCTGCTGGAGTTTGCTTCCAGCCCTCCCCCCCCCCATATATGTTCAAGTCCCATTAAATACAGTGGATATTAAAATGGTGTCTCTTATATAAAATGGCAAAATCAAGTTTTGCTTTTGGGAATTTATAACTTTTTGGTATATTTCCAAACTATGGATGCTTGGATCCGTGGATAAAAAAATCTATGGATGTGAAGGTCTGACTGTATTCAAAACTCAGCCAATGTTTCAGTATCTGATGAAAACTACAAAACCCTCATTCCAGCTGTCTTCTCCCCCTTAACATGTGGATGACATTTACATTCCAAAGAGCAAACAACAAACATCCAACACTCTCCTTGGGTCTGTTTTGCAAATCAGATGCTTGGACACACTACTTTGAGGGACTACAACATCCATAATCCCCCAGCCATCATATTGGATTCTGGAAAATGTCATTCCAAAATAGTCATCTCTCCAAATTTGGGGCAAATTTGTTTTTGGTTTTTTCCTGCCTGGAATGAAGAGGCAATACTGTCAAACACTGGGCTGGCTGCAATGCAAATCCAGTGGGCTATAGATGGCTTGCTGGGCTTGTTTGTTTCTGCCTGCATCTTTACATTAATACATGCACTTTTAATGCAAACCTATGTCCCTCTTTGCCCTCACCACCTCACCCCCCATTTTTTGGTGCTGTTTAAATGGCTATTTTATTACATTCAGCAAGCAAAAATGACCTTGTGTCACTTCTGGTTGTTATTTTGGCTCAGATACAGCCAAAGAAAGAATCATTTGGGGAGGTATGGAGGATTCTGGGGGTATTTATTTTTCAGGTTTTGCCATTGTTGTTGGTGTGGGTTGCCCCTGGGGTACTTTTGGCTTGATTTTCAGGTGAAAGTTACCCCCAAAATGTACTGACTTTTTTTAATGTTGGGGTTTGGAGACTTTGGGGGACTGACAAGAGTTTCAGGCAGGGACAAAGGGGGCATGCTGTGCTCTCTTCTCCTAATCCCACTCCAATCTACATGCATCTATTGCATTTTTTAAAATTAGTCTTCTAAATATGGCTTCTAAATATGGCTGAGGCTGCAAGCTTTGTAGCAATCAATTGTAATTTTGTGCAATACTCCTCAGTGCCTTTGCACAGAGTCTAGGGTTTATATGCTCATGTTTAAATTTCAAATAGAATGGTAATAGCATGAAAAAGCATCCAGTTATGGAGAGAAAGCACTTACAACAAATTAGCTAGAAGGCTAAATCAAAAATATTAAATCTCAAATGTGGGAGGATAAAGGCTAAGATACATGGCATTTTTCTCCCCACAACATTTTTATTTCATTGTTTGAGCCTTAAAGGGAAAGCTGATCAATGATTTGCAAATATTACCAGCTTGGTGTTGTAGGCATCAAATGAAAAGAATTCTTTGAAACAGCAATAAATACAAACAAACACAAACAAACACAAATAAACAAACACACACACACACTGATTCAGTCATTGCTTATGGATATAGCAGGTTACTACCAACTTATTGGCTGCATCTGGGATGGAATGGCTGGAATCCTATTGCTATCCCACACCTGTGTACATTCCTTCATGTGAATGTACTTTTTTTTTTATCATTGTGCAACTGTTGTGCTTCACCACTCCTAGAACTAAGGCTCAGATTATGAGAGAGAGAGGATAGATGAAGCACAGGGCAGAGTGAGACAGAGTGCCATGCTAGTGAATCAGAGGGACCAAGAAAGCATGGCAGTTCCTGAACAACAAATCACAGGCTAACAGCACTACCATAGCAGAATGAAGGAGAGAAAAGGAGGGGCCATGGAGATTGGCATATTTAAGAACTAACCACTCATTAATTTGTTGCTGACAACAGATCATAAATATCGACACCTCCTACAGGGAACTTGTTGCTCACAACTGATCTATCTAGTAGATGCAGCATTCCTGACTCATGTTCTTGGTTCAGACCTCTCTCCATTTAAAGACTATGCTTTTGGGTCTCCCTGTTGGTTGGACTCACTGGTAGACTATTGTTGTGTGCCTTCAAGTCATTTACAACTTATGTGACCCTAAGGCAAATGTATCATGGAGTTTTTTTGGCAAGATTTGTTCAGAGGAGGTTTACCATTGCCTTCCCCTGAGGCTGAGAGCATGTGACTTGCCCAAGGTCACCCAGTGGGTTTCATGGTTGAGTGGGGAATCAAACCCTGGTCTCCAGAGTCATAGTCCAACACTCAAAACACTATGCCATGTTGACTCATTTGACTCACACTGGCCTAATTACACTGCTGCATCATCCTTACTGGTGAACCTCACATCCCTCAAGGATTCTCCCATGTTCAGTTGCCCTCTGTACTATCTCTAGGGGACCTGGACTTATGTTGCCACCAAAACAGGACAGCAACAAACATATTCTGTTAATGATTGTATATGTGGAGTTCCATAAGTATAACTATTTCACATGGGCCTAAATTGGTTCTTAGTCCCAACTACAGTAAGTCCATTAAATCAGTTGGGTTTACCTACATGTTGGTTCACCATCCAACAATTGAGTAAATGGATTTGCTCAATTATAAATGGGATTAACCAAGAGGATGCCAGTGATCCATTTGCACATTCTTGGATTGCACATAAATATTTACCATTGACTTCAGTGTATTACATTATTGACTGGAACTGCATAATGGGAGAGTAAGCAGGCACACCAGCAGATACAATTGAAAATGGCAGTGTTCAACAAAAGGGCAAAGTAGTACAACTATAGTGTAACAATAGGTCTATCTCCACTGGTGAACCCAGAGTATCCTGTTTCCAGAGATGCCCTGACCTTCTCCCATTGCAAAGTGCTCCACCCTGATACCAGGTGGCTGACTGCATACATGTCCTGCTGAGATGCCTGGTTCATCTGCTGCTACCATCACTGGTTGCTTCACTCTAAGGTCAGATGAGGTACCCAGCAATGTCACATGGCTGGGCACCTTGTTTTGACCTCAGAGTGAATGACTGGCAGCAGCAGTGGACATGCCAGGTGGCTCAGTGGGATGCATTTTAAACAGCTACCTGGCATAAGAAAAGAGGACTCTGGATCTTCCAAGAAGAGCCAGAGTAGCTAGTGAGTTTTTAAAAATCTGGCTTAAGATGGGTAAAACCCAGTTCTGGTGCTGAACAGGCCAGCCATTGCCTGGTCTGCTCAAACCAGAACTGGGCTTTGGGCTGTGTCATCTGGTCTCTCCACCAAGGGAGAGAGGAGAGGCTGTTGTATTTGGCCCATCGAGACAGGGCATATGTGAGAGTAGATTTCCACTACATAACCACAAGGTAGGATCTCAGCCAATGTGTATGCACAGCAAAATGTGCACACAGATCAGATCCTGTGCCCCCCCCCCCCCAAAGCTGTTGGAAGTGAGCTTGCACTCAATACATAATGGAGTTCACTTGGGATTGCCATATGCCCAGTTTGGCTGGGTTTTATCCAGATTCTAGGCATACCAGCCTGTGACTGTTTGAATCATCATCTAGCCCAGAATCCAAGTGTTTATTTTTAAAAAGAAAATATCTCTAACCCTTGTAGAAGCTGTGATAAAGGGCAAAATGTGGAGACACTCTGTGGTCAAATTGGTCTGGAAGAAACAAGTCCACCTGGAATTTCAATAATGAGAGGTGAGACAGCAAGGGTGTTGCTGATACAGAGCAAGAGGCAAAGAGGATACAATGTGAGGGTGCAAAGTTTGACAACACTGTGTGCATCAGTGCAAAAAGAGAGACACTATAAGGGTGTGAGGTATGGAAGGGAGAGGAATAGACAGAGAACAGACATCCTGGTATAGATAAGCTGCTTTGCATGCACATTTTGATGAAAAATCAAATAGGTGAAAGAAAGGGACACTGGACTCTTTTCTAGTTAAAATATTTATTCTGTGTTTCAAAAGTAAATCAAACCATGTTTCCCCTCCTTCAATTGCTGCCATTAGTCCTTTCTGTCTTTCCATCTTACTCAGCTATTCAGATGGTACTGAACATTCCAGAGCTAAAATGGATGTCAAATCAGAAAAACCACTTTTAATTGTTGCAGAAATATTGGCATGGAGAAAACAGCTTCAAGTAAAAGACCAACTCCAGATCTGTACTTTGTGAGTGTTAGAAACTCCCTCAGACTGAGTAAAGCGGTCTTCTTTATTCCAACAGCAAAAACTTTATTTCAGTAACCGGAGAAGTTAACAGTAAGATTCCTGTAGACAGAACTAACATAATTCCCAAAACTAAGCATAAAATATGCAATGCCTTGCCCTGAAAATTCATGGGCTCTGCCTTGATTTATTCATAAGCCAAAACATTCTTGCACCCCTTCTAGTTTACCTACCCCTCTCATATACTTTCAATTTAAGCCCTTAACAAATTTCCCACAATAATGACCTTGATAGAATTCAGCACCAGGATCCTCCTACTTACATCTGTTCATTCTCTAGCCAGGCAATTATCTTTTCCCTCACCCCAAAAAACATTCCAACTCCCAACAGCTAAACTATCAAGCTTCTATGATATGTCACACCCAGTTTAACATTTCTGTTTTTTTAATCCAACACTTTTATAGATTATATACATTACCAATATGAAAGAGAGCCAGCGTAGTGTAGTGGTTTGAGTGTTGGACTATGGCTCTGGTGACCAGGGTTCGAATCCCAGCTTGACCATGTAAGCTCACTGGATGACCTTAGGTGAGCCACACTGTCTCAGCCTCAAGAGTATGGCAGTGGCAAACCACCTCTGAAGAAATCTGGCAAGAAAACTCCATGACAAGTTCACTTTAGGGTTGCCATGAGTCGGAAAGGACTTGAAGGCTCACAAAAACAAAACAAAAACCAATATGTAAAAGAAAAGAATATCAGTAATTAAAACAGCAGCAAACCATTATTAATGACAGGATTTGTCAGATTCTGATGGTGAGCTCACATGAAAACTGCACCAATGACAGCCTTTCTTTAATAAGGAATTTGGCCAACTCAAGATCAGACTGTAAATTTTCTTACTCTTTACATTGTATTTCACATAAATGGATTCATGTTGCCTCATTTCTAAGTAAGAGCAAATGCATGCAAGCTGCTACTATAAGAATATTGCCTCTTTCCTTTTATCAAGTTCAAGAGTGCAAAAACACTATTATAAACCCTTTTGATGATCCAGCATGGTGCAGTGGTTTGAAGGTTGAATTAAGAATCTAGGAGACCAGGCTTCAAATCCCTACTTTGCGATGGAAACTTGCTGCATAACTTTGGGAAGTTACATTCTCTCAGTCTTAGAAGAAGGCAATAGCTAGCCTCCTCTGAATTAAACCCATGGCAGGTTCACTTGGGCTGGAAATGTAAAGCTATCACCATCAATACTGTCAAAAAGCTTTGAAGGAAGCAAAGATGTCTGGTTGGTGCTTCATGGTCAGCACACTTATGTGCTTTCTTGGCAGTTTCAAGAATTATTTGATTTAATAACATTTCTTGAAGAACATCCCAACAGAGTCAATAATTTCATTGCTGTTTTGATATCCAAATTCTTCTGTTGCAGCAGCAATGTTGCAGGTTTAGGATACTCCAGTATTTCAAGTATAATTTGAGTAAAAGATGGTAAGGAGAGAAAAACAATTGACTTGATTCAGTAATCCAATAACTTCAGTTTTAGATAACCACAGGGGAATATGCACTGACTGATTTTAAAGTAATGGTTTCTTTATCTGAATGTGTAACTGTAACTGAATTGAAGTGTCTAGTCCAGGAGTAGGCAACCTTTTTGAGCCGGGGGCCGGGTTGCTGTCCCTCAGACAATTGGGGGGACAAAGCACCAAAAATAAATGAGTAAATAAAAAAAATATTTAAAAAATAAAAAAAATTAAAAATATGCATGCACACTCTCTCAGCCCCAGAAAAGCCATGGCAAAACCCTGTGTAGATTTTGCCAAGAAAAACCCAAGAACAAGTAATAACAACAATAATCAATATCATCATGGCGGCCGGCGGCGGGGGGCAGTGCTGGCGGCGGTGGCAGGACTGGCCTGGGGCTGGTCCAAAGGCCTTGGGGGGCCGCATCCGGCTCCCGGGCCTTAGGTTGCCTACCCCTGGTCTAGTCCATCACTGAAAAAGACAGGTATTGTGAAGAACTGCTTTTCTAAACCTGCTTAACACACCCCTTCTCAAAAAAAAAAAAAAGATGTACAACTCTTCACATAAGTAAACATATTTTTCTAACTCAAATTTAGCCACAATTTTATGTGTTATTATCAAATGGAAATGATGATGAAAGTGAATGAAGGAATGAAATGTTAAAGTCAAGTTCTTATGAGATCAAAGTTTGTACACCACCAGATGTGTCTTTTGAGGCAGATGCTCCTTCACATAACTGAGCAATTAGTTTGTCAAAATTTAAACTGTAAGCCAGCATTGAAGATATCTCAATATTATACTTTGAGCATTTGGTGAATGAAGCTCTATAACAGCAGTAAGTCCCTCTGTTGGTTTAGTGCTTACAAAGTATCAGAGAGCAATTGCTTCATCTTCAATGCTTCCTTTGTCCCTAGTTTCATCAGCCAACAATACAACTCAAGTACTTTCCGTAATCTGCTTCATAGTAGTTCCCACAAATGTTTTAACCATGATGTGGATTGTTGCATTTTGGATTTCAGAGTTAGTGGATTTAGCATTTTCAGTAATATTTTCCATTAGTTCTTGCCCTTTTTGATCTTTTCCAATAGACAATGCAAATGCAATCAAACTTGCACATTTGCTTAGAATAGAGGCACTCCCCACCCCCATGAAAGGTAAAAAACCATGAATATGAATACATATAAATAAAAATCGTGAGCATGTCCAGAGGAGGGCGACCAAAATGGTGATGGGTGTGGAAACCATGCCTTATGAGGGGAGACTTAGGGAGCTGGGTATGTTTAGCCTGCAGAACAGAAGGTTAAGAGGTGATATGATAGCCTTGCTTAAGTATTTGAAGGGGTGGCATACTGAGGATGGAACAAACTTGTTTTCTGCTGCTCCAGAGAATAGGACCTGGAGCAATGGATTCAAACTGGATTCAAGCAATGGAAAAGAGATTCCAGCTCTTACTTTCTGACAGTAAGAGCTGTCCGACAGTGGAACACACTCCCTCAGAGAGTGGTGGAGTCTCTTTCTTTGGAGGTTTTTAAACAGAGGCTGTATGGCCATCTGTTGGGAGTGCTTTGATTGTGTATTCCTGCTTGTCAGGGGGTTGGACTGGATGGCCCTTGGGATCTCTTCCAACTCTATGATTCTATGATTCTATGTTCTCCAACATTTCACAGATGAAACCAGTGCATGTGTGGCTAAACAACATCAGAGTGTGGTCAAGTGGGCAAAAGTTACTAATATGGAAGAATACCCAATCTTGAAGATGCTGGAAAAGTTTGCTTTTGCATGGGCTTACTGGAAAGAGCAAGATTCTGCCCCCTTCCTCTACCCTTGCTGAGTTAATGGAGTGCAATCTATTTTTGCTCTTTGAACACAGTTTGCAGCAATGGAAGGAAGCAAAGGGGGAAAGTGAGAGGAGGAGAGAGATATGGACTCTCCCTACTAAATCAAGACAATTGGAAGCAAAGCAAAAGCAGCTTATTTATATACTGCTTCATATCACGCTATGGGATGTCTAAGCGGTTTACAACTGTGAGCTGATTGCCCCCCAACAAGCTGGGTACTCATTTTAGCGACCTCGGAAGGATGCAGGCCTGAGTCGAGCCTCAGCCCTGGCTGGTATTGAACTCGCAACCTTGTGGTCGATGAGTGAGTGGCTGCAGTACAGGCATTTAACCACTGCGCCACCAGGGCTGTGTGCTAGAGCCATTACACAGTAGATGCACTATGCTAATGGCTGCGATTTTTATTTTTCAGGGTCATGCAGCAGTGACAATTGAAAGCAGAAGACATCTATTGGCTCCAAGCAGGCTATTTCTCTGACACTTTACTTTCTTCATGGCTGTTGAACCCAAAGACTTTTTGTTCATGCTGTAGCCAAGAGTGTTATTAGGGGTATTTATAATTAGCTCAAATTACAAGAGGGGCTGGCTATGACAGTCCTGCAGATATCGCCTCCTGGTATGTATACCGAGTAGACCGGGGATTCAAGAAACGGAGATGAGACAGGCTTCTCCAATTAATATCCTAATTTATTAATAACAAAGGCAACACGCACAATGCACAAACATATGCACACTCATGCAAGGCTCAGGAAGATAGGCAAAACTACAGGTGATACTCACTATAAATGAAGCTTTCTCCAGGGTCCAGTTGGGTAAAGTGACGTGAGATATAACCGTTCTGAGAGCGCAGGATGAATGGAGGTGCTGGTAACTAGATCAGAGAACAAAGTGACGCAAGGTCCCCCTGAACTCAGACTAGTGACACTGAGAGGAGAAATCTAGGGGTTTTTAAGGGGAAAAACTAGCCGCAGGACAAAGGTATGAGACTGCCTGGGTGAGGTAATCTGGTCTGGCAATATTCAAGTGGAAATGGGAGAGGATTAAGTTGTTAGCTAATCCAACAGGTGAGACATCTAGGCCATTATCACCCATCCTTCCAATTATGGAGGTGATGATGGTCCATTTGCAACTTCCACACTATCTGCCTGACTGTGGGGGTTGGGGATCTTCCAGTCTTCCAAGTGACCTGGGCATGACCTCTTTGTTTTACCATGGAGGCACTTGGGGTTCACTGCAGAGTGCATCTGGGGTCATGTGGAACTCATACACATACCAAAATTCAGAAAAATGCACTTTTGGTAACAACTCCACTGAAGTAGTCAACTGCCTGTAGCTGAAAAATGTATTTTAAAATGACTGTCCATGATTGTCTATGATTCAGGGTCAGACTAGATAATCAACTGGGACTCTGAATGAGACTTAGAAAATTTTCTTACCTAACTGACTGTTTCTTTTAGCTAAGCTATGTGCTCTGCACTGCAATCAAGGTTGCATTGATAAGGCCGCAGTCATCTTGTACTGTAAACATTTTCTCTGTAAGACTCCTATGTTCTGAAAACAATGTCTGCTTAGCAAAAAGTGCTGAATATTGTGAAACTAATTGAACTAGAGAGGGAAGAGGGAGTGGTTTTCCTATATGCTGGACATATTTGTAAGAACACTATGTAAGATTCTCATTTTGCTTAAATCAGGGCTCAGCATTTTTGGAAAGTTATTTCCTGTTGAGCTTGCTAGCGTAATTTTGATGTTGCTTTTTTTCCAGAATAAAACTCACTTTCCTTCAGTACATTGTGTCTCTCTGTCCCATTTTTCTGCTACACCACAGCCACTTACATGACATAGACATGACACTTGCACTGTAGAAATAATACAGTTTGACACCACTTTGATAGCCATGGCTCCATCCTACAGGAACTTGGGATTTGTAGTTTTGTGAGGCACCAGCACACTTTGGCAGAGAAGGCTAAATCCATGTAAAACTACAAATCTCAGAATTCTATAGAATGTGCTACAACCCTTAAAATGGTGTCAAACTGCATTATATCTACAGTGCCCTCATACTTTCACTGGTGTAATCTATCAACAGGATTCTGGCCTTAATTCACAATCACCAAGCCACTTTCTGTGGAAATTGTTTCCTCTTTGCTTCCAAGAGGTCTCTTCCAGAAGACACATGCTTAAGATAGCTTTCAGAATTGTATTGC